AAAATCCCAAAAAACGAGAGGTCTCACACCAGGTGATGCCTGGGATATATGCCTGTGTTAGTGGTCTCGGTTAGACTGAGTATAGGGAAACCTTGCTCGCCAAGATGATCAAAGATTTTTGTGGCGAGCGAGAATTCGATTCGCACTTTCACTGGAAGGCCCAGCTTGCGGTTTCGGACTGAAACTTCCAGTTATTGAATGGCACTTCGCAATGCGAAGTTCGCACCATGATCATTTCATTCAAGTGGGAAAATGCTGCATTCCCACAAGCACAGCACGGTGAAATATCAACGTAGCATACTCCAAAACAAACGGATAAGTACTACCTATCCGTTTGTTTTGGAGTATGCTATGTTGACACTTACCTATTAGGTAGCCCTGACGCAGGCAGTGGTTCTGTAACCGGCCGCAGGCTCAGAGTCTGAGGCTCTGACAGAATCATTAATCGCCGTTACGGACAGACCGAGGTTTGCACCTCGCTTCGCATCGTGATTCGTCAGTGTTCCCGTCTGCGTTTCTTGCTGATATGAGCGCAAGAGTTTTCGACAATCCCCTCATTCGAGAAGAAATAAGACTGGCATACATGATGGGGACGATAGAACAGAGTCAGAAGTGGTGATGGTAACGAATAAATGCAGACATTAAAGAATCAATCAAGAAATGTTCAACGACAGCTCTAATCTCCGAGCGTTGGAAACTTTCCAATGGAAAGCGCGATTGTTCAGCGGCGTGTGATGTGGACTCCTCACGTGACCTGGCCTGTCGTTTCACGTGTGTGTATTGTGCTCCTGGAGCACCCGCACAATCCTTCTCTGGGCCTGATTCGTCCACTATTGTCTACGCCACTACGTTGCGTATGGTGTTCGCTTGGACTACTTGAGTACTTGCCATGGACTTTCCTTAGCTCACTCATGAGCTAGAGTTACCTTGGTATTTGTCTCGCGTGACCTCCGGGACTGTCTATCTTCTTGTTCCCGTAAGGAACAGAGTAGATCTCGCTCGCCTTTAATCTGTAACTAACTCTTTGCTCATTGTGGAATTCCAGGAAGAACTTTCGAGTCTTTGTACTACGGGCTATCAAGTCTTGTGTACTTCTACTGAGTTCCTTCTACCTTCCACCGTAGCTAACCCTACACTACCCCTTCCTGACTTGAGTTCTTAAGTGACTCCAACCCCCGAGTATATCTAACCGACTGGATATCCTCACATTCTGGTAGCAGCTCCTTGTTGCTAAGAACTAGTCAGAAAGGTCTTGAACACCTACCACGAGTACTATGACTACCCCCGGTTCTATCTTCGAGAAGCTCGGTTTGGCCAAGGTGGAAGCTGACGTGCGAGCCCCTTCTGCCTCTGGCAGAAGATAGCTGGGCTTGGCTGTGTTGCTTCTTGGGGCAAGGCCCCAGGGTTGCTTGATTTATTTGACTGTATGGATGTATACAGTCGTGCTTGTACACTTATGCTGTGGCTTCCTTGTGAACGGCTACACACGGGCATGTCTCGAAAGTGGTATTCCGTGTTGGGATTCCACTTTGAGCAATGATGCCACTCTGGAACGATGGCTTGGACTTTTGAGTTCAAGGAGTTCCCTGTCACTAGAATGATGGCTGAAGTAGCTCTACTGTAGTTATACTTCGACTATCTTGGTGAGTTGACTTCGTTGGTCTGCTGTCGGAAAGGGTTGCTCTTACGAGAACTATGAGATGGCATGACACGAAGGTGGATTGTGGTCGAGGACTTGTCCAAGGCTATGATCCTGCGCAAGGCTCTCGGTATGACTGATCAGGCGCGCGCTGAGGGTTTATGAACCCTGAGGTCACAATGTCTCCGGACGAGGAGACTGGGGCTATACAATTCGGCCAAATTGGAGAGCTCCACCCTTGCTCTGGTTCATTGGGATGCTCTATAAGTGCTATGGCTTAGCTTGGTTACGACGGTGTATGGTCCTACCAGCTATTCGGTAGACTTACGTTATTATTGTGTTCGATGTTCACAACGAGCAACTGATTGTGCGCTAGCCTATCTCCTTCGTGACGCCAGAGGCAACGCATGCGTGCAGTTATTGGGCGTGTGCGGCGTGTGGGCGGTTTCAGCCAAGACGATTCGATTGGCTTGGACTTGCTCGATGCTTCTGATGGTGGCTTCGTCTGAGATAACTAAGGGCTTGTCGTACTAAGACTTTTATTCGTACTGGTGGTTGTCCTAAGCTTCCTTGTTACGTGGAACTATGACTCCCAGCAGGACTTCTAATAGGGCTCCTCAACCGCCAAACCTCATGATTCCCACCATGGAGGACTTGGTTAACTGTGATGAACCCACTGGTATTGGTCGTCATGTGGAAAATTTGGTTCGTGTAATGGGCTTTGATCATCCACCTACCCCTCTCGCTAGAAGGAATCGTTGGCTTGATCGTCATCGTTTCCTTGACAAGGACACTGCTATGAGACGTCCTTTGTTGCCTCAACAACTAGGTGTCGTGTCCTCTTCGTGAGTGGACTCCTCGCTGGACCGACTAAGGACCGTCCTTATCGGGACTGGTTGCCTACAGCGGGTGGACTTCTCCGTTGGTGTATGGAAGCTGACACTCTACCTGCCATGGCTATTAACTTGGTTAAGGACATGGACCCCAAGGGCTACCCTTCTACTAATGCTCATCTTGTCTTCTGTTGTCGACGCCATTGCGAAGAAGGACTTTTCAAGCTCATGAGACAAGCTGCGGACTGTCCTATTCGTGAAGGTACCCTGCTCTTCGTTGGCAGGTCGGACAAGAGCTTCACCTCCCGTGTACGGGATGGTAAGGGCCGTCGTAGTGGACTTACTGTCAATGAGGCTAAGTATGGTCATCTCCTGGGTCACAACAAGACCGTTGCTGTCACTAAGGCTCTTCACCAGGACTCTACTGCGTCTGCTGGGTCAAGGGGTTCCCCTTCTAAGTATCTTCCGGCTGCTTTCAAGCTGCGTGCTGATGAATGGTGCAAAACCAGTTGGGAAGCTGTGGACCGTGCTCATCGTGGTGCTGGGACTTACTGGGCTGACGAGGACCCTGGTATGTACAAGAAGTTACGTGAAGCTCCCGCCACTGTCGATGGGGTCTTTGATACTCTTAAGGAGCTAAGTCAAGCATACTCCCAAGACCACCCTAGGACTTCATCATCACGTCCTGCTGAAGCATCTCCTACCTCAGAATCGAGGAAGAGAAGACTTGAGGACTCTTGGTACTAAGGACTTTCTTAGGACCTTCTTTCCTCTCGTCTAGAGTTTTTAATCTGATTTTCCCGTGAAGTCATCTTTGTAGTTAGTAGGACTATTTACAATTATCGAAGTTGCTGTTTGATGATCAAGGTGCCCAATTCGTTATTCGGTAGTTCTACTTTCTATACTGGACTTGCACGTTTTCTTTCCTAGCTAGATTTTTGGCGTTTTCCCTAGTTGGAGACCGTAGTCCAAGCTAGGCGGGGAGGTATGTGATGTGGACTCCTCACGTGACCTGGCCTGTCGTTTCACGTGTGTGTATTGTGCTCCTGGAGCACCCGCACAATCCTTCTCTGGGCCTGATTCGTCCACTATTGTCTACGCCACTACGTTGCGTATGGTGTTCGCTTGGACTACTTGAGTACTTGCCATGGACTTTCCTTAGCTCACTCATGAGCTAGAGTTACCTTGGTATTTGTCTCGCGTGACCTCCGGGACTGTCTATCTTCTTGTTCCCGTAAGGAACAGAGTAGATCTCGCTCGCCTTTAATCTGTAACTAACTCTTTGCTCATTGTGGAATTCCAGGAAGAACTTTCGAGTCTTTGTACTACGGACTATCAAGTCTTGTGTACTTCTACTGAGTTCCTTCTACCTTCCACCGTAGCTAACCCTACACTACCCCTTCCTGACTTGAGTTCTTAAGTGACTCCAACCCCCGAGTATATCTAACCGACTGGATATCCTCACACGGCGGAACTTTAGCGCACGCCCTGGCTCCTCAAGTGTGGAGATCTCACAAATCTTGTAACGCTTTGGATCAGTTACATCTAATCAAGCTATGAAACATGATTGGTAAGTGCAAATCATTTGCTAGCAGCCTGATCGAATAAGAGTGACGCTGTGTCCTGCCGAACTTGGCAGGCCAAGCGGAAAAATTTATTTTTCCATATTTTTCCGTATTTTTCCTTCATTTTTCCTTCAAACTTCAAATTTCCTTCCGAAGGAAATAATTTTTCTATTTTTCCTTCCGCGTGCCAGCCAAATTTTGGCTGTCGCTGCTCGATCCGCTCAGAGGAACATGCTGACCGCAATTGATGGCAGTAATCCCCGGAGTTACCTTAGGAGCTGTAAACCTCAAGAGGGTGGTCCCCTCCATCTACTCTCATGCAGCGACTGCCTAGAGGTCTATGTGTTCCGCAGCGGCTTGCCATCCGGTGAGGCCCTCCTATCATTCTACATTCCTCGCACCGCGACCGTTCTACGGCGTCTGATTCTATTAGATGCCCAGCGCTGGTCTCTCTACAGTGGTTTATCTGGTACCCTTGCTGCTGTCAATCACTTCCATCTCTCTGCAGTTCTTAGTGCGGCCCGCGATGTCATCAGATGCTGTTTCGCCTGTCCCCTGGCCTATGCTGTTCGAGGATGGCATTCCCCTCCCGGATATGACGATAGCGAGCTTACTGCTGAAGAGATGTCCAAGTATCCTTTCTATACCTTCGCTACTGCCGATGTGATTGCGCTTGGTGAAGGCATTAAAGCCGTCAGTGTTCAGTGCCGATTTACGAGGCATTGTATATGGCGCGATCTACCCTCTGGTGTTGAGTCGACAGCCAATGCGGTACGCATGCAGGCGATCACTGGTGGTATGAAGATTTTATGGGTCGACCGTGCATCCTACTTCCGTAGTCGCGAGTTCAGAGTAGTGAGGCTAAGTTTTGGCTAACTCTTGAACTAAGTTTTCTGCTGAGGTGCGGCTACTGCCCCGTCATACTCCTTGGACCGGTAGCCATGAGCGTCACCATCAGTCTATGTTGAACTACCTTCGCAACATCATCCGCAACAGCGCTGGCCGTGTGAGGTTACTGTCTCCTATCGACCGAGAAACTCTCTGTGACCGAGTTGCTCTCACTCACAATACCATGCCGTTAGGAGGATATGTATATTGTGTGCGTGATCCGGTGTTGCGCTACTTATGCCCAGATCTTCTATCCTACGGCCATTTCCGAACTCTTGGTGCTTCGGCGGCCATCAAGGTTGAGGTTCCCGAGTTTCCCTACCGAATCTGTCGGCAGGCTAGACAAGTTTATCTTTCCGAGGCCTGGTCGCGTATCAAGAAGACCAATGCGGATGTTTGCCCACGACTGCGTGCTGGTTACGTTGATCGGGATCCCGGTCGCACGGTTCTGGTCTATGTCCCTACTTCTCGCAAGCTCGCTCAGCCTTTCGTGATCGCCCACGTCGTACAACGTATTAACGACCGTGTGGAGGTCGTACACCCTACTGGAGCCCTCACTAAGGAGCTTGGCTACAATGTGGTTCCTTTATCTCGACATCCTACAGACTACACTACTCGCGAGCAGGGCCCAGTCTTATCGATCTACGGCTTCGAGTGCGGGTTATTGACGCTTCTGGACAAGGCGAGTGGTATGTAGGTCAGGTGGTTGATCAGTCGGGCTTGATGGAGGTTCTGATGCGTTGGTCTAATGGTGCTCCAGAAGAATGGCTCGACCTTGAAACTGAGAATTGGTCCCCTTTAATCGATGACGGTGGGCCTCTTTCACTAACCACTTGAGATAAACAAATCTTAAGTTGAGCCAACTACTCCCACTTACTCAACTCATCTGTAAGAGCATTTCACAAGGAATTCACACTTAAGTGCAAGGTTACTAACCTTAAGAAAGTCGTAAGTAAGATCTCACTCAAGCAATCTCACTCAAGTGAGATGGATAAATCGGGACTCACCCGTTAGTTAAGTAAGTTCGTGATAACGTAGGTTAGTGAAACACTCTTATGGCCTTACCATACTAACTTAAGAATCTTACCTTGAAACTTAAGGATTTTTAACTTGAGAGTGAGAGAGATAAACTCAAGTAAACTTGCAACGCCTAACCTATTTAGTGAAACGAACTTAGGGCGAATTCTTAAGTTTCTTACCGTCCTCACTTAAGTAAGTGGTTAGTGAAAGAGGCCCGGTGACTTCTCACCGTAGGAGGGCGTGTTGTGTATGGTAATATTGTATATGTTGATTGATGTATTGCTCGCATTTTATATATTTGTGCCATCATCGCTCGCCAAGATATCCGCATGAGTATCCGAAACCGTCGACCCTAATGGTCGAATCGGTTGTATTAATTAGACTCCTCCAATCCGGTCCTCTCTGAGGTTGCGTTGTCAACTGCGGATGTAACAAGCCTAATATGGTCGGACATGGGCGTTGATAGTATAATTTGATCGCACATGGGTATTGGTAGTATAATTTGATCGCACATGGGTATTGATAGTATAATTTGATCGCACATGGGTATTGGTAGTATAATTTGATCGCACATGGGTATTGGTAGTATAATTTGATCGCACATGGGTATTGATAGTATAATTTGATCGCACATGGGTATTGGTAGTATAATTTGATCGCACATGGGTATTGATAGTATAATTTGGTCGCACACGAGTATTTATAGCATAATATGGTCGAACAATGTATAGATTCTGCCACTGTCAGAATTCATTTCGTAGTATCTGCGGCTGTCCATGGTTCAACTTTCTGCAGAGTTTGCAGAGATGGCATAGGCGCCCCAACCAGGTTTACCGCTCCAAATCCAAATGATGACATATTCTTGCATATCGCTGAAGTTGGACTATAATTAGATGGCAACACTCCCGAAATAGAATCTGCCACCACTTTCCCCCATACATGGCTTTCCCCGACATATTTTTCGAGGATTGCTCACATGTTTTCCCCACAATTCACAGCAGCTCTAGTACAGCTTCACTTCTGTTACCACGTAGCCTCCAGATGCATACCAGATTCATAAGTCTTTCGGATCTTCGAAGTATGACCGACAGTCATTGACCGTAATAATGTGATCGATTTATATTGTTTAATAGTGTTAAACCGTCACATTAAACCTTTCCGAGTGATTCTCACGATTGATTCGTGAATCATATATGCTCACAGCGCATACTTGCCACGAAACTCTCCAACGTATATAACTAAAAAAGTGTCGTCTACGAGCAGTACTAGTCGAGCGCTACATGACAAGAAGAGTTTTAACATAGAATCCTCTGTTGTGGACGGCATTAATGTTGCAACAAAATATGCGCTGATGTTTTCAGTGTCACAACGACACATTTGGGAGTTCCTGTCTCACAACATACCGTTCATTGGAATTGAGTTGGGTGAGTTAGCTGGTTCTCATGCATCGTGCGTTATTAATTTCATGTTGGGATCTACACCATGCACCATGCGCAACGTTTACAAGATACCGATTATTATAACCTATTGATATGCATCGATGTGATCTGTGTTACAACATCCTGATTCAGGATTCAGGATTCCTGAAATAACATCGAATTCACCGATGAAACCTCAATCTTATGGTGCTTCAGTGCTTGAACGCGTTATGATAATGTCGAAAGTGGCGACTCACAACGCTACCAAGGCTGACGAGCTCAGCTTCCCACAAGTGACACTGCTCATATTACATGTTTGCGAGGTGTGATGAGAAGCTGCTATTGCGTGTCATCGATTTGAAATCAATGTCTGCCTAACAATATCTGAGCCCTTCTCTTCACCCAACCATTTCAGGAATGCCGTCAAGCATGTCCACACCTATCGATAGTGATCCAGCTATTCTGCCTCCTAAAACTACAAACTTCAATATACTCACTACTATTGCAGAGGCACGAACCTACTGCGTTAATGTTTACAACCTCATCATTAATCTTGCAACCTTTCACTACACATGCTACCATCACCTCTACTGTTGATTCTGATCTCTTGCCCACTAAGTAGTCACCATCAAAAAAGGTGAAAGTTGAAAAAAGCCAAAGTGGGCAAGCTTACCGAAAGTACTTCCGCCCCCTATCGTTTGAACCGTCGCCAGGAGATGAGTCAGATCGTATAAGTTCGATATAGCGCTTCTCCTTAGGAAGCGCTTGGCGCTCAATTCATTAACTCCGAGAGATACACTGGTGCAAGTGTATCGTGATTTCTTGATTCAAGAATCTTGATCCTTGCTACAGTACCGGCATGTTATTCGTCCGTGCTTCCAGTGTGCCACGAACGCCCTCAGACAGCTTTAACCCGTCAGCGCGCCGCACAGCAGCTCATGATCCTCCATGGTCGACGTGGCTTGGCGCAAGCGCCAGGCTGGCCCCGTTCCTCTAATCTTGCTTCTTCTCCCCCTTCTTTTCCTGCTGCCTCCTAGCCTCGCCGCTGGCGACTCGCCAGAGCGTTCGCGATCTCGTTCCCTAGACAAATGTTATGGGCTTTCACCCACTGGATGAGGTTACTGTTTTAGAAGACAGGCGCGCTCCAAGACTTCCCGAGCAGACAGTACAGACTGACTCTAGCTTACCCGGTTTTATCACTGCGCGCGTGGGGGTTTGAGAGTCACTACATACAATTGCTTTCCTAAGCGTGTTATCTATGGTACTCGCAAGCCTGATGGCGGCGTCCTCGATTCCTTTGAATTCTCCTTGCATTATTGTTGCATAACCTGGGAGTCTGAAATAGGAAAACCAGGAAGCATGTGTGCTATGTCCATTTGAGACCAATTCAACTGTACTCGACCGTACACGGCCGATGAGGCCTTCCTCGTTTATCCTACAACCGCCACTGAATATGTGTCTCTCCGTGAGTGGAAGGCAATTCACCAGGCTATGATATAATAATTCCCAGACCTATCTTTGACGATCGACACCAGTTTCCATCTTCAATACCAAGTGTTTATCCAATTTATCACACGCAATATTTACTTCATAATCAAATCCTCGTTCCTCACTGAGGATTCTTCAGCAATGACCCTTATTCTTACCTATCTTCTACCAAGTAGTATTTGGACTACCTATGACGCACATTACTTTTGTTTCTCTCACAAATTGCACCTACTCCGACCGTAAACGAAGTATAGTAAACGCTTGAAGTAAACTACAACTTGACGATGTATCCCCCACTTATCCGAAGGGCAGGTACAAATGAGCTTACTATGAAACCTAACTATTCCCCGAACGTAGCGAGGGATGTGGTCCCTCCGAGTAAGAGAACCCCGAAACGAAACGACGGGTTCTGTTAGTATCAACTGTTAGTCCCACGAAAACACAAGCGTTATCATCTTGAGCCATAGTTATCGCCGGTCCTAATATAGTGGCTCAAACACGAATTTCTAACAGAGCGAATTAGAACAAACAGTTCCAGGATCTCTGATTATAACCACGCAGAACAAGTAACTACACCTTTTCCCGTGCAAGTTTGACAAGTGAGCAAACCAGAATGACAATGTTACTATCAAGATCGACAATGAGAATCCAAGTTTGTCACCGGCAGAATATACCACAATCAAGAATGACAATAAACCACACAAGTTTGACAATACGCACACAAGTTTGACAATACGCATCCAAGTTTGACATTGAAGAGGGTTTCTTTGATGAGAAGTTGAGTGAGAGGGATCCGATAGCAGATAGGCAGAGAGCTGAAGAGCAACACATGTTCTTATACCCGTACCGGGAAGATATGCTGCGAGGAATGTGTGACCGTATATCAACATGCCGAGTTGAAGTGTCAAACCTGGATGTGTATTGTCAAACTTGTATGCGTATTGTCAAACCCGTGTGGAATATTGTTATTCTTGATTGTGATATATTCTGCCAGTGTCAAACATGAATTCTCAAAGTCAAACTTGATTGTAAGTTACAATTTGTAACATAATTGAATTGTGACAAACTTGGATTCTCATTGTCTCTCTTCATGATAATATTGTCGTTCTTGTTTGCCCACTTGTCAAACTTGCACGGGATAAGGTGTAGGTGGTTCTGCATCATCCAATAAAAGTAATACTTCAATACTAGCCGTTTCAAGACTCTACTCGTTTTGAATCTTGCGCTGTGGCGCATGCGAGCTATCGTCGTCGTCGTCGTTGTCAGCGGCGGTCGTGGCTCACGCAGCTCATGGCAGAGTATTAGAGTAGCGAATATTTCACCTTTCTGGAGTCAACTAAGCGTTGTCGAATTGAGAGAAATTGGCTGTAAGATTTGGAAAGAAATTTTCCACTCTAAAGTGTACTCACTTGGCATAGTTCGACGTGAGAAGAAGACTTAGTACAACTATTGTACAATATTGGTATCATGATGTCTATGGTTGTAGTGATGAAATGAGCGAACAGCACAGAGGTTTGGGGTCTAATAGCACTCGTATGTGGGGTGTTTGTATTAATATTATTTCTCACAAGTTGGTGGAGTGTAGTACTAGTATTATCGCTTATCATTAATACTCATCATAATCATCAGTTCATATTATCATGAGTTCTCCTATCACTTCAGATACCGGTATTACTACGCATGATATGTCTAAGAAGTAGTGTATTATAGGTATTATTATAATTATTTACACTACTAGATTCCGTTCCCCCATAATACGTGATGTTATACGTAATATTATAAAGGAGAAGATCGATGACGCTATGACGACTAAGGACTATGGTCAACATGATAATAATAATTCACATTATGATTCTAATGGTAACATTAACTAGTATCCTTTTATTGTTTATTATTGATAGTATACGGTCCATTATGTAAAGTATTATGTGATGATATTAAAGATAGAGTCACAGACCTATTACCACGATATAAGGTGTTAGTAGAGGTATCAATAACAGAATGTAAGTGGATAATCATATATTGATAATTAGGTTATCATTGCTGAATATACTGGTCAAGGTATGAAGGTATCATCTAAGTGTTTATGGGATAATAATATGGATAATTTAGCGACTCATACTTATATAACAGTAATTACTATATTATGGCTTAATAATACTATTAGAATATTATTAGGATACGATAATATGTCTTGGAGTAGTATACGGCATATATATGTATTAGCATGATTATCATTATTGTTGAGTGTATGGGGGGTATTATCATCAACTATATCATGACGATAATGATGATTATCGTGTTTAGTACTATTTACGTATTACCTTATTATTAGTAGTATGACGAGATTCCTTAGTAAAGATGTATGGAGATTTATGAATGTAACTTTAAATAGTATCACTAGCTACAAGAAGAAGAAGAAGCTTGTGTACTACATTAAGAGAGGGAATAATATTTATAATAATAGAAGTCATATTACTATATATAATACAGTACCACTACTACATCCACTACCACAGATGTCTACTACTAGCAGTAATGAAGGATATTATCCTGATCCTACTAAGTTGAGAAATGATGTTATTAAAGCATTCCCATCATTTAAGGATGATATACTAGCTGATATTAATAATAGATTAACAGTATCATCCTCTAATACACTAAGAGATAGTATTATTAACTATTTCGATACATGTATTGAGTACACAACTAAGGTAATAATAATACTACTACTACTCTATACCATAATCGTTATAATTATTTTAGGATGGTGGTAAACTTAATAGGGCTACTAGTTTAGTAGCAGCATATGATATACTCCATCATCATCATCATGATGATGATCAACATGATGATGATAGAGATATAGCTCTCAAGCTAGCATGGTGTGTTGAGATATTACAGGTACTGATGTATACTAGTAGTAGATGTTGTTGTATTCATTGTTCATATTATTAGAGTCACTTCCTAACTCTCGATGATGTTATGGATTCATCAAGTACTCGTCGTGGTAAGCCTTGTTGGTATACTAAGGTTGGTGTATCCAATGCTATTAATGATGGAGCATTCTTATATTCTACTATATATCCATTTATAAGGAATATCGCTTCACATAAGGAATGGTAGTATTAATAATCATCATCTTATCATAATCATTGTTATTATTATTATCAGGTTATTAGACGTTATTGATATATTTGCCCATATTGAGCAGTGTACTCTCATAGGACAGCATTTAGATGTTAATGGAGGTATGCAACAACAACAACAACAAGATAGTGAACATAATAAAGAGAAGGAGATAGAAAGGTAAGTTGATGATAATGATGATGTTGATACTAGTTGTAGTATGTATTGAGTAATAATAGGTTCAATACTATAGCTTTGTATAAGACAGCATTCTATACTTACTATTTACCAGCATCTGTTGGGGTATTTGCTAGTGATGACAAAGATGCTGTTAAGTATCTACCTCTTATTAAGGATGTAATATATCTCTACTATTACAACTATACTCACTACTACTAGTAGTACTAATCTTGTAGGTATGTCTTAAACTTGGTGTTTATTTTCAAGCACAGGATGACTTCTTAGATTGCTATGCTTCTCCTGAGGTTCTAGGAAAGGTAATGATAACCTTATTATTATTATCATTAATATCATTATCAATGTTATTATTATTATTATTAGATTGGTACTGATATTGAAGAGTGCAAAGCCTCATGGTTATATTGTACAGCAATTGATGTATTAACTATGGATAATAATAATAAGGTTATTAACAACAAGAAGAATGCTTACTATTATTATTAACATCACTATGTTAGGCTTTACTCGATGAGTTGTATACATTATATAAGAAGGATGATAAAAGTGTAGATGATGTTGAGAGAGTCAAGGCTATATATCGTAGCTCCCCATTGGATATGGAAAAGCGTTTTATGATATATGAAGAGGAATCCAAGAAGGAGCTTGATAACATAATATCCAAGGTAATAATATAAATAACACATTATTATTACTTACTACTTTTATCATAAGGTAAATCATGATGGTGTCAGAATGCTACTTACATATATGTTGGATCGTACTTATAAAAGGAGTAATTAGTATAATGATGACATTAGTAGTAGTAGTAATCGTTGGTAATAGTTATGATGCGTACTGTGCTGCTTCTGTTCTTATTATTCTTCCTCTCTCTACTGTAGTATCATCATCATTATCATCATTGTTGTTATTGTTGTTAATACTAGTAGTGGGTAAGATCGTTTAATGTCGATGTCATCATCATTACAAAGAGCAACACTCCATGCACCTCTACATCATAAGAGACCACTACCACGACAACAACAAGAACAACAACAGACAACAGTAGCAGCACCACGACCATCTACAGTTGAGATGTTAGAGGATGCTGTTGTCAATGATAATAATAACCATGGTAATGGGGGGATAATGGTCTAGTGTCGATTATTATTATGATGATGTTCAGAAGTCAACAATAACAACCATGAATTATCATTAGCAGTAGACAACAATAATAATAGTAGCATCCCCCCAACTACTACAGTATGGCCACGACAACGACGACGATCTACACCTGATAATAACGACTTTAGTAGCATAACTGAACAAGAAGAAGAAGAAGAACATATAAGGCCCTGGCTATTCGGATTGGATTCCTCTGTAACGAGGATATCATCATCACCAACAATAACTGGATCACCAGAACCACTACTACTAACAACAACAACAGGAGAAGGAGGAGGAGGAGGAGGAGTCATAAAGTATTACTACTGTTGTGTCTACTGTGTATACCTGTATATGATCAGTGCCAGTAGTACATCTACACTGATACAGAGTAGCTAGTACACATACTACAGCATGTAGTATGAAGAACAGCAAGGGAGATGAGATGAGAGATAACCACGATACTTATTCGAATCAGAGAGAAGGAGAAGAAGGAGGCAACAGGGATTACAACAAGGAGAACATACTGTATTATAATGATACTACTACTATTAGGATGAATGACCTTACTTATCAGGTTACTCCTACACTTCATATCTATAATAACCGTTATATTCCTCCTCATCCTCCTGTTACTACTACTAATGCTAATTATGATGAAGACCTCAATGATCATGACCATAATCCTAGGAGAGGATCATCATCATCATCATCACCATACAACAATACTCAATATCATATTATCAATAATGATAATAATATCATCATCATGGTACAACGTTTAATAGATGCTATCATTCAACTTATGAATACTGGCAATATGTCACAAACTGAGGTAATGATGATGATCACTACTACTACCACTGCTACTACCACTGCTACTATGACTGATACGTTAATATTGTTATCAGGTTATTAATGTATTGAAGGCGATAATACCATCGTCGTCGTCTCCATCATCTGTAATCACAAATAATACTACTACTGGTCATTGCAACACCACCACCACCTTCTCCTATTTATGTAATTGTTTCCTTTCCATTACTCATGATAATGATGAATACATGAATAAGGTAGTATAATAAATAATAATAACTAGTAGTAGTAAGAGCAGGCACGTCGATCATACCTCCTAAAGTGGATGTCTCTAACTCCAGATGGTGCATTATATGTTATATATAATGCTATACTTCATCTTACTCATAAAGGTAGTGGTGCTCTTTATGTGGTCATATTATTATTATAAGATTCATAACTATTATGATATTCAGGTATATTATCGTTATCGGAAGAGGAAGAATTAACTAATGCACTATTATTATTATATAACAAGAACAATAACTATCATCATCATCATGATTCATCATCATCACTTTATGATAATAAGAATGGGATCAAGAATGATAACAATCCCCTCACTATCATTGCTCAACAGTACTGTGAGGTATCATCAAGAGTAGGCGGCGGCGTATTAGATGTATTATTAATCGTATACTATTTATAGTAAATGATGTCTTATTTCAGGATGATAGTAGTAGTGATAATAATCCAGATGTAGTAGCAGCATCATTCCTCCGGACTAAGCTCATTATATGGTCTCAACTAATGACACCACAACAACAACAACAACAACAACAACAACAACAACAACGACACAGTCCGAATATTGATCATCATCATCATCGTCATTATGGTGGTGGTGGTGGTGAGTATTACAATGATTATGATGATGTAGTAGAGGATATAGGAAGACATCATCAGCATGATGATGATGATGATGATATGATACAACAAGGGTCATATCATCATCAATGGAAGGGGACCAGTAAGGGGATTATTGATAGGAATAATATGAGGATGATGATGAGGAGAAGAAGAAGAAGGATGATGACGACTACGACTACGACGATGGACAATATGATGTTGGCACAACAACAACAACAACAACAACCTCCTACTATTACTACTACTTCTACAGCTGGCAAACCTCAAGGAATCATTCATCAAGAGTGGTAGTAGTAGTAAGGAGTAATATTAATAACAACAACAACAACTCAATATTAGTTATCCATATATGAATATACATCCCCATAATGATGTTGCGTCTGCTGCTGGTGCTGCTGCTGTTGCTGCTGCTGCTATCCCTTCTCCATCACCAGTAATACCACTATAAGGGTTGCTATTGTTGTTGTTATTGTTGTATTCTTAGAGCAACTCGCCATTGTCATCCCCTTCATCATCATCATTACTATATGGAAGGTACTTTGATACCATCATCATTATCATCATTGATATCTTCGTCAATCAGGGGTATATCTCTTAATCGAGGATTATCATCATCACCACCTCGACTTGTACCACCACAGCAACAGCAGCAGCAGCAGCAGTCCAAACAACGACAACAACAAGATGATGATGATGATGAAGTTATGATGATGCAAGGAGGCAATCATCATTATACTCATCATAATACTAATATGGCTCCTGTTGTGAGAGTACCCACTGCAAGAAGGTAATAATCATAATAATAATGCTCAGTGATTATTATTATTATTACAACATAATCATATCAGACCTCAATATCCTATCGTTAATAACAACATAGGTCTAGGACTTATGCATAATGATAATAATGCTGGTGGAACCAGCAACAACAACAACGGCAGTATTATTAATGGATTATTTCTACCATCGTCAACTCCACCACTCGAACCAGTATTAGAAGGGGGAGAAGAGGAAACAACAACAACAACAACACAACAAAGAAGAGGAGGAGGATCTCCTCCATGCATTGACTTGTAACAATAATAATATCAACATCATCAGCATCATCATCATCATCATCATCAAGGTTACTCCTCTTTTTATTATTATTACTGTTACAGTTCATTGACAGCATATGGAAGATCATCTCCATCACCTACTCCATCACCAGGTCTTGCTCCTATTCGAACACCAAGTTTATACAATCCATCTGTAATAATAATTCCACTAATTATTTTTATGTCCATGATGTCGTTGTAATGATCATAGCCATCACCATCTCCTACTACTACTACTACTGCCCTCTATCCTAATAATAATGCTGGTGACCACCTTGGATTGGTCATTGGTTACAACAACAACAACACTAATATTGGGATATCTGAGGATAGTAGTAATAGTAGTTATACCTCTACTAATAATAATACTAATACAGGATGCTCTTATCATCCATCTCATTTAACACATGGAGAGAAAGAGAAGGAGGAAGAAGAATCACACAATATGATGACAACTGAAGTGCGGATGACGATGATGAAGAAGAAGAAAGTAATAAACATATACTGCTACTGAGTATCATCATCATCATCATCATCATATATTGGAATATTATTCTAGAACGGCGGCGGCGGCGGAAGTCCTGTGGTCGAAGTCGATGATGAATCGGCGGTGGTGGCGGTGGCGGCAGCAAATCAAGTCGATAATACCAAAAATAATTAAAGTTGTCAGCTTCTCAACAAGAACAACGATGAATGTGTTCAGTTCAGTGATTAACACAACTGGTGGGTATACGATATATTATATGCTTGTAATATACACAACTGGTGGGTATACGATATATTATATGCTCGTAATATACACAACTGGTGGGTATACGATATATTATATGCTCGTAATATACACAATTGGTGGGTATACGATATATTATATGCTTGTAATATACACAACTGGTGGGTATACGATATATTATATGCTTGTAATATACACAACTGGTGGGTATACGATATATTATATGCTCGTAATATACACAACTGGTGGGTATACGATATATTATATGCTTGTAATATACACAACTGGTGGGTATACGATATATTATATGCTTGTAATATACACAACTGGTGGGTATACGATATATTATATGCTTGTAATATACACAACTGGTGGGTATACGATATATTATATGCTTGTAATATACACAACTGGTGGGTATACGATATATTATATGCTTGTAATATACACAACTGGTGGGTATACGATATATTATATGCTTGTAATATACACAACTGGTGGGTATACGATATATTATATACTTGTAATATACACAACTGGTGGGTATACGATATATTATATGCTTGTAATATACACAACTGGTGGGTATACGATATATTATATGCTTGTAATAGAATTACAATGAAAACAGGAGTGAATTCCTCCGATAACTTCACGACAACACCAACTCAACAGTTTCTTGTTTACTATTCAAAGTCATTAAATGATGATCCTTTTCTTCCTTCACAATCTTCCTCAATAATGTATTAGCCTATGAGTGTGTGGCAATGATATAACCACACACGATCTACTTGGGTTGAAGAGTAGCCTCATCATTGACCTTCCGTTCATGTTCATCTTCTTCAGAATCATAATTAGGATCACCCTTATCCATAGCAGCATCAGCTGGTGGATCACCAGCAGCACCCCATGTATATTTGCCACCAGCTGAAGAGAAGGAACAATAATAATAACAACAACAATAACAAGAAGTAGAATAGACATTCAACATCATCATTATGAATATGAAGAACAATAACTCACCTCCCTCTTTCTTCTGAGCAACATCAGCATTAACAGAAGACTTGGGATTGCCACTGTGGCGCTCCTTTCTGGTATCATCAGATTTGCCGTATCCCATATTTCAACTTAACTAAGTAATTTCAGAGTTGATGACTCTGGCGCTCCGTTCGCTACTCGCCGCGCTTCAGCGTCGCTTGATATCTTGCAAGTACTCAAGTTCACTCATCATCATCATCAGCTAAGGAGTAGTATCTATCAGTAGGGCTAGCGAGATCTTCTTGGTCGATGTCTTTTACTTATCACCTTGAGACGGTTTGGTGTATATATAAATAATAACAATAATAATAATAATTTGGTGTAATATAATAACTGTAATAGCACCTAGTAATACCAGGTGCTATTACAGTTATTATATTTTAATAAGGTAATATACCTTTCACCTCTAAATTAACTCCATTAACGCAATGTTTTGGGAAATTGGACTCTGTTGTTGAACATTCCTTGTTCGAACAATGATCGGTTCATTCCAGTTTCTTCTCTATGTCTTTGTATTAAGTTTCTTCCAAGTGTCATACTTCATATGCCATTCATTACAGGACTTCTTTGTGAGCACAATCATTCATCATAGTTCTACTCGTAAACGATGATACATCCTTGAATAACAATACTAATAGTAGCATACCACGATTAATGTGTAGTGTGGGTTCACGTATAATCACGACTACCGAAGTTACGAGATGATTTGGTTATTTGTTGTTGGTTTTCTATGTTTCTACCCTAACCAGATACATTTCAACGTGCCTTGTATCACATAAACGATTGTGAGTATTAGAGTCGATATTGTTCGGATTGATCGCCATGATACATCCTTCGATATACTACACAACGAAGTGGTTAATAGACAGATGAAAGCGCTTAGTCATTACCTGCACGCATCTCGGAGTGAGCAATGTCAAACAAAGAACACTCATATGTTCCTTTCTTGACAGGAAAGGGGGCTGATGGATTAGAGTCTGTAATCGCACTTAACTCGAATATATCACAATAGTAACACCTTCTTTATTCATGTTCCATTATTCGAATCACTTTCTAAACAGTAAATGAGTATTTCACGAACGTTCTACTCAATGACAACAAAACTCAGCATATGTTACGCATCATCATGAGCGGAAACATAACTTCATCATCTTCAATTGATAAGAAGACTACAGCCTAACTGCTAGCCATGATAGCAATGACCTATTATAAACCCTGTTGATTCTTGACGAATGCGATCAGGTCGGCCCTCTCCTTCTCTTTCTTCATACCAGCAAACACCATCCTAGTCCCGGGTATATACTTCTTGGGATTGACCAGGTATAGGAATAGATGTTCAGGGGACCAAGTGATGCCAGAATTCTTATTAGAAGCAGAATAATCAAAGTTAGGTACCCTACCAGCCTCACGTCCAAATAGACCATGTAATGGTGGACCCTGTTTCCCAGCACCTCCTTCTTCACAGGTATGGCATTGAGCACACTTAGCCTTGAATATCTTAGCACCACGCTTGGCAGAACCATCAGGAACAGTGATATCAGGATTAGGTCGGACCGACATCACAAAATGTAAACTACTAAATGACAGAGACAAGAGATGGAAGAGGAGGATGAACAACAATTCAACAACAGGATAATAAATACGATTAAAGGCGAGCGAGATTGACGTGTGTATCATATTAATCGGGCGAGCGAGTATGACGATAGTAAGCAGCAGCAACATCATCATCAATCTTACAGCGGGTATGGTGGTGGTTCAATGAAGACGCGAATGATTAGAAATTAAAAGTATGAGAGGCTCTATCTTGATAAAGGTAATGATGACGATGCTGCTGCGGATGATGATGATGATGCTGCGGATGATGATGATGATGATGCAACATGTTGTATGACATCATGAATGACTTGAGCACCTCTTACAAGATTTAATACTGGTATCTGATGATGATAACGTGTGTCATCATCTTATAATGGTATTGTCGTTATGATGATCATCATAAGGTGTCGTCGGACTTATTAGGACTTACACTTTCTCCCTCTTGATGTGGCATATCCTTAGGTGTAGCTAATGGTATCTGTACAGTTGGTGCATGTAGAATATCTTGTAATAAAGATAATACTGCCATAGATCCTCCTTCTCTAACAAGTAAGACCTGAATAATATCGATCTACTAATATAAGAGGATGAGGAGGACCTTCTCATCATTATATAAACCCCATGCATCCTTCATTGCATGCCTTGTATACATCAATAACCTTCTACTAGCCTCTTCTATACTTGGCTTATTATCATCATTATTATCATATTCCGATGATGATTCCCAATAATTCCAACAACTGGTAGTCTGTATAGTAACTTCATTAGGTGATCGTCGCTAAAGAATAGATACTAGTCTCAATAGTCTCTAGTTAGTTATTCATCATTGTACTACCTTATAGAACTCATCTTTAATATGCTTATCAACAAGACTTATAAGCTTACGAGCATCTTGATTAGGAACGAAACGTATCTACTAAAGATAATGTAGGAGGAGGAGGAGGAATATGATGTGAAACAACATAAGAATGATGATGCTAGTACATACACTGATATTGGCTCTAGCCAATTGTGGGATAATCCTTGCATGAGCACAATGTCCATGAGTTAATGATGATGATGATGATGTCATGCCAGTGGATACATCAAGAATTGATAATGATGGTAATAGCCAAGTCCCTAATATCGTATTAATAGTAGTAGTTATTATTATTATATTAGCATCACGTTTTAGTCTGTTAGAAATATCCTCAAGAGCATCATTTTCCTCTTCTTCCACCTCCTCCTCCTCCTTATGTACAGTCTTATTATTATTGATGTTGATAGCTCTAGCTGCAGCATGAATAGCTTTATTATCACGATCTTGAGCAGGATTACGTACCTACTAATGATGATGATTAGGATGACCATTATAGGACTTTAGGAGTTGGAGATATTGTAATACTACATCATCATAGAATCCAGGAATGGTTATGAAACCACGATTATCAACTAAAGTCTGGCATAAACTCATTAAATCAAGTAATGGTTCGGATAAAATACCACCATGAATACCTGACTATCATCATCATTATCAATACCACTAGCATACCAATCATAATAATCTTATTATTATTACCACTGGGCAACCCATTAAGTGTCTTCTTACTCTTTTCTACTACTGTATTATTATTATTTTGTGATAGGCCTATAGATGATGCTGATGATGATGCTTTAACTTCGATAATTAAATCGATAACTCCCCGCATTGCATAGCATACACAAGGTTCATCCTAGATTAATAATAATGTGTAGTAGTATTATTATAATTACTACTTCTAATATCCATTGGCTATTAGTAGATATAACAGCAGACACCTCATTAGGACCTATCCAATTATTATTAATAGCCCATTTAATAGCATCTCGAAAACCAGTAGAACCTCTTTCCTCCATACCTTCACTTATCATTATCTATACATAATCATGTACTAGTAGTAGTACAAGAGGTAATAGTGGGTATTATTACTATATTGGGTAATCTAGTACTATTCTCAGTAGTACTCTGATCTCCAGTGATATTAGTAGTAATAATAGATTGAGTATTATTATTATGATGATAGCGTGTTGTTGTTGTTAGTAACTTCTTCACTGCTAGTAGTTGTGCTCCTAGAGGGCCTTTACAATCGGCTGATCCTCTACCATAAATTCTACCATTAATTCCAGTAAAGGCATATGCATCATCAGATAATGCTGGTACCTATGATAGTTATAATAATAATAATGATGAATACAACTTTATTATTATCATTATTATTACCACATCATAATGACTATATAATACTATAGTAGTAGCTAATGGATCCCATCCAAGACGTGCAATAATAACAGGGTTCATCATCATCATAATAGGGGCGCTATTTCTATACTTCATAATATTATCTATACACATCATCATCACTTATACTACTACTACCTATTGTAGAATCATCATTACTTCTTGAGCCATCATAATCATTATTATCAACCTTCGTATCGAATGCCATATCAGTATTATATAAAGTGTTATTATGATCATCATACTCCTCATTATCATTATCATCATGTTGTTGTGGTACATCTAGTAATCGTACGGTAAAACCTATATTCTCCATACTATGTAGGATATACTGTGCACATTGTACACAGTCATCATATCGTAAAGTTTCCGAACCTATAATCACCACAACTTATAATAAATTTATAGTATAATAATATATTAGCCTCACGATATGAGCCACATCGCTTGATGAAATCAATAAGCCATTGCTCATCTGATAATAATGATGATGTTGTTGATGGTGGTGGTGATGGTGGTGGTGGTGGCGGTAGTGCATAACCGTCAATATCACTATTTGCATCATCGATAAAGGGTAAACCTCGATGCTGCTGCTGCTGCTGCTGCTGAGCTCGATACTCTTCTTCTATTGAGTCGTCTAAAGAAGTAGTAAAGTATATACCCCATCATCACTACAAGTTACCCGTTGATTGTTCTTCTTGTTTTACTGCTTGTTGTTGTGGTGTGGATACTAGATGGAATATCCTAACTGTATCACCACCAGCAATAGCCAGAATATTGGGTAATTCTGTACTTAACGATAATAACTGAATAGCAATGGTAAACAATGGTCCAATATGCATGATACTACCACCTTAGCAGGAAAGAAATGAGTACTAATAGCAGTATTATTATTATCAAAGCGTCGCTGCTGCCCCTGCTGCTGTTGTTGTTGCCTCCAAATGTTAGAATGGGGCCGCAGCAGGTGGCGGCTGCTTCCTTGTCGTCCATCATTGAATAATACACTAGGCGGAGGCTCTTGACTGAGGTATACTCTAGTTATAGGTGTTATCTCATGAGCACCATAACCATTGTTATTATTAGTATCTTCTTCTTCTTTATGTTGTCGTTGTTGTATACTCCATACCGATACATGAGTTAGGGAACTAGATACTAACATCTAACAAGAACAGATAAGTAGTAGTAGTAAGAAGAAGGAGGGAACTTACATCCGCATCATTAGTGTGGACTACAGCCAATGATAAGACAGCAGTTTCCAATGTTCTTCTTGTTGTTGTTGTTGTTGATGTATTATTAGATGATGATGATGTTATAGTATTATAATGAGGTATTAGACCATCATCATGGTGGTGATGATCTATTCTTCTCCCTCTCTCATATTCATTATGATACAGTGTTTGGCGACAATTCCATAATAAATGCTCTGGTGGTGGTGGTCTTAGTAATGATGATGATGATGATACCATCATCATTTTGCTAAACCAAACTCTAATAGTACCTTACAGGCATCATACAACATCATCATCATCATCATCATGCTGCTGCTGCTGCTGGTCACAACATGACTTTTATTACCATCAGCACTACCAGAGAATACTTCCCCACCACTTGATGATGATGATGATGTTAGACAGAATATAGCACCTGCCATCATTATTATAATAGACATAGAGGTTATAATACCTCTATGTCCAACTAAAGGGAATGCTCCTGCTGCTGCTCTTGCTGCTGTTGCTCCTGGTGGTGCTGCTGTGGCACAGGTTGATGATGAGTGTTCTTGTTGTTGATGATGTAAGTGGTGGTGG